TTCAAAGAGCTGCTTCCCAAACAAATAATGCAGTGGTCTGTACTGTTCGCTAGAGATAAGAAATAAGTAGTAGCCCATTTATCAGAATAACCCCTTCTGGGGAAGAAAAAAAAAAAGAAAAGAAGCCTTTTACACTCTGTCACCTGGCTCTGTTTACCAAGCAGGCGTAGGAGCTCTGTCTTAAGGTCCAAAAAATGGAAAGCATGTCAGAAGGCCAAAGGTATGCTTGAAATTTAAAGAAGAGGGGATATTCCTGCATTTTGGTTGTGTTTCCTGCTGCGCTGAGACGTAGTTGAAGCAACTGTCTCTGGATGCAGGTTTTGGTACCGCTGAAGTCATGTTGCCACCTTTAATGCAAGTCATTTAAAAAGTAGGAAAATCAAGTTTAAAGACTGTTTGACCTTCATTTCTCAAAGAAACAGCTGATTAACCAAGGTTTTATAATGGTTTGTTCCAAAAGATGGAATAATACAAATTTTAAAAGCTCCATTGGAAACTGGTGGAAGTTGAAGCGAGAGTCCATTGCCTGACCCCCCAAAAAACCCAAATGAGCTCTGGGCATATCTCTTGGGTTACGCCCACCTTTATACATGACTTTTGGGCTGACACTGAGGGTTTACATCTAAACTCAGTGGGACAGGAGTGTTGTACTGGTCTACCGGTCTTCTGTAAGACGAGAAACCCAACAGTGGATTTGGGAAGGAGATGGAGAGCGACAGCAATAGTGAGTACAGTGCGAACAGTCGGGTTCAGTAAAGATCTTGAAGATTAAGTGGAAGCTCACAGGTTAGCTTACTTTTAAATTAGATTATTATAAAAGTAGTTGAAACCTGAGGCCTTGAAAGTAAATGAAGAAATAGATTTCATCACCACTACCTAAGGGGTGGCTACAAGGAAGATGGAGACTCCCTTTTTACAAGGAGTCCCATGGAGAGGACAAGGAGGAATGGACACAAGTTGCTCTTGGGGAGATTCCGATTGGACATGAGAGGGAAAGTTTTCACCCTGAGAACAGTCAACCATTGGAATAATCTCCCCAGGGGAGGGGTTGACTCCTCCACATTGGATGCTTTCAAGCCTCAGCTGGATGGGGTGCTGGGCCATCTTGTCTAGGCTGGGCTCTGGCCTAGAAAGGTTGGACCGGGTGATCCTTGAGGTCCCTTCCAACCTAGGATTCTATGAGTCTATGAATAACCTTGAAGTAGCAATGCTCTTGCACATCTTTTTGAGTTTTTTTAAAGGGAAATAGAACCTGAACTGTTGCCGAGTGAAAGCTGGAGCTAGAAGTGATCATTTGTGTGTTGGCTTGGAACAGAGCATGGATAGTCCTTAGGGGTTTAAGCCCTACCTACCTTTTAACATATAAAACCTTGTGTCTGAGATCTACCTCCCATCTCCTAACTACTCAGATTTCCATGTTTATCCAAATATTGAATAATGTTTGTATGTCTTAATAGCAGAGCAGAGCTGAGTTACCATAAATTCAATCTGGGCTATCCCCAACAAACGGCGTTGCTGAAATACTCTTTGTTAAGAGTTATTTGCTTTCCTATCAGTGAAATCACCTCTGATCAGAAGTCGGGCCTTTTGAAAGAGGTACCTTCAGTGAGTAAAACTGGAAGACTCTGCTACCTTGGGATGGTTTTAAAACGTAAATCGTTTCAGAAATATTTCTAGCCCCAGAACCCCCCTGAGATGGATGGTGTAGCCCGAACCTCTCCCAGGTTGCTGCCTCCCTGTTGCAGCCATCCCAAATAAATGGCATCTCCAGGTGCCAGCCACCGTATTAGAGCCAGAAATGAAATGGGCAGCTGCTCGCGCAAATATTTTTACAACGAAAATGTCACGTATAATGCCTTGAAAAGTGTGCTGATGTTAATTAAGAAAGTACTAAACCAATTGAGCATGCAGGGTTAGTTTTTTTTTAAGTCTCCAACATCCCGGATAAATTTTCCAATGTGTTAGGCTCCCACTAAGATGTTTCAGTGTGGGCTAAATATAAAAAATAGTAACATTTAGCAGTCTCCCATGGAGATACCCATTTTCCTAAGCACAATATAACCCTGGGGTCGCAAGGTATTCACGTGCTATGGTACTATGAATAGGACAGCTTTAGAGCGTCACCTGGGTAAACAGAATTATTATATACCTCACATTTATCTCTATTTTGTCTGCTTTTGCAGCTAAACATTTTGCAACCTTGCTTTCTTGGGATGAAGTTGTTGTAGCTGTGCAATTACGCTGATTGAGAAGATGATTACATTGAAGTCTCTTCTGATGATAATCATCTTCCATTTATTTAGGGCCATTCATCACAAAATACTTTTCCAAATTGGTAGACAAAGTTATGCACGTGGAATTTCTTCACAATCCACAGAAATACAAGTACCTCTGGAGAGGAACATGGCCGTTGTTTGAAAGTGCACAGCGGCAACAAACGACTGCAGGAAAGTGAGAAAATGTGGGGTTTTTTTGCTAATCTGCCAGGAGATCTGATGTGGATGGTGGTTGGTTGATGCGGAAGTTATCTGCAATAATCCCTGGTAATTCCCTGCCCTGTACTAAATTTTCAGATTTTTTACATAATCCCTTCACCAATCAGAACCCATCCTCAGCTACTTTTTGTCTGACCTAAGGGATGGCAGAGCCAAAAAAAAAGAGTGCCCGGGGGTCTTACACAGTTGACGTTGATGTGCTGCTCCGGCAGCTGCGGCCCGTCTCGGGGGAAGATGTCTTTTCCCTGAACCCCCGTCCCAGCAGAGCGCTACTGCATCAGCTGGGACTTGTGCCACCTGGGAAGGCTCATTTGACTTAAAGGAAAAAATAATTAGCTTTGGAGGAATGAGACGGCCACGTCTGGGGCTTTGCTACATAGTGAGCTATGCTTATACCAAGAGCATGCTGTTGGCATAAGGTTGGTCTTTGACCCAAGAACAGCTTTTACCCCAAAACCACTCCTGACATGGACTTTGACTGCTCAATCCTATACCAGGAGAGACGAAGTGGAGCTTGGTAGGACTTCACCAAGCTTTGTGATTCTCCTTCTGTGGGACATGAGGAAGCAGAGATGCTGCTCTTGGCAGAAACATGGACAAGCCATCATGGCTGTTTAGCCCAAAGCTGATAGATACGAGAAAAAAAAGCAGAAGAAAAGATGAACACCTCAAATTTTACTATATTGATTTGGAGTGCAAATGTTGCCTCAACAGCCCAAACATCTTTGGAATAATAATCATATCCCTTCTTTTTTTTCTTTTCTTTTTTTTTTTATGTCAGGCTTAGAAGAGAGGCCAGCTTTTTGTAAAAACGAAGCGGGAAAATAAATGACAGAAAGCTTGCTTCATAGTGGTGGAAAGCCACCTGGCAGGTGGAGAACGTGCCCGCGATTTTCCGTGCGGCACCGTCCCATTGCCGCAGTTCCAGCCGCTTGTGTGCAAGAGCAGCTGTCTGAATTATTCCCGTCACCCGTGGAGGGGGCACAGACAGATGCTGATGACCTTAGTTTGTCACTCAAACGAGCACAGCTGGAGGAGGGGGGAAGAAAAACCCAACAGAACAAGGCAAGCTGCTCGAAGGACTGAAATTCAGCTTGCTTCCCAAAGCCTGCTTTGATGACAGGTTTTCCCCAGCACATATGGGATGACTTTTCCTGCACTGCTTAATGGTTTAAATGTTGTCAGACAGGCGCTGTCTCAAGCAACAAACCTGACTTTGCTGGTTTACCCGTCACGCCGTGGCTGATGCGTTTTTTTTCTGCCGACAGGTCGTCACGGGGATGGTTCCTACTGGCCGGTGGACACCAACCTGATTGACAGGAGCAGTCTGAACGGTAAATACAGGCTCCGTAATTAAGTGCTGTTTTGGGGATAACCTCCTACTTTACTTCTCTTTATGGCTCTCTCGTTCTTTTTTCTCATGGTTTGGAGGCCACCCAACACGCCCACAGGTTGCGCGCTTGCTCTTCTGTAGGGAAGAGTTATCTCAACTGTTGAAAATCCCATCCGTGTGCAAAAATACCTGCTGCAAGCCGGCCAGTGGTTTTAACCAGAAATGTTAACCAAAAAATAGGGTCAGGACACCATGTATTCTGTTTTGGCTTTCTTAAAGCTGATCCCCAAATTACCCATCAGCTTTCGGGCTGACGCAGTACTCCCAAAAGTGCGTTGCTGGGTATGATAATCCCATCGCAAGAGCAGTTTTAGATATATCTATCTCAGGCCATGGGAATCTAAAAAAATAACAGCTTAAAAAGAACGGTGAAGTGCATTTTACGTTCTTATACGTCAATTTAAGCTTTCTGCAGAAAACACTATTTGTTTATTAATCAATCCTGCCCTAAAATAGGAAGACATGAGAGGAAACCCCGTGGATTAACAAAAATTAACTGGTCCTAAGCAGTGCCAGCTGGGGTGTAGATACGCCGTCGATAACTTCTTATTCCTGACCCCATCTCCGTTCCCTAATGAAGCGTTGTCATCGCACATTATTGAATGAAACGACAGACAAGATTCCCTCACATGTGGTATCAAGTGAGGTTTGAAAGTACAAAATAATTACGAGGCACATAGCTGATTAACTCACGCTGATTATTTTCCTCGGGCAAGACAAGGAGGGAATGCAAAATTTTGTTACCTTTTTCTGTCCTCCTTTGTGGCAGCCGACACGCCGCTGGTTTGGGCTTTTCCCCTGCTCTTTTTATAGTAGTTCATCATAAAAATAGGTAACCTGACTTTTGAGAAGTAAAGAGAGCTCCCAAAGCCTGCAATAAAGGGTAGGGAGAGAAAAAAAAATTGTTTTTCTTGATAGTGGCTGTATTTTTTTGTGTGGTATATTCTTTCTATGCCTTTTACTCAGCATGGAGGCGAAAAAGAAACCAAACCCCCAAATCTTTGGGATTTTTGTACTAGATGTTGAAATGCTGAAAGGATGGCACTCGCAGCTTATTCAGTTGCTTGAAAAAGCTATGAGAAAAGGGCAAATTCTTTAAATAGCATAATTAGTTAAGTAAAGAAAGGATCTTAGGTCAGAAAATCAAGACATTGCAATTAAATTACGTCTACCGCTAACTAAAACTCTTTATTTGGAAAGATTTGTCCTTTTTTCCTTTTGCATTCAGTTGTACTAAAGGCAAAATGAGATCCCAGACCAGTATTGATCAGTTTATACGCTCAGTTTATTTAGACATTAGGAAAAATTTCTTCACCAAAAGGGTTGTCAGGAAGGGGCTGCCCAGGGAAGGGGTCGAGTCCCCCTCCCCATTAAAAGCCAGGCAGACGCGGTGCTGAGGGCCAGGGCTTAGTGGTGGGATGGCAGGGTTAGGGGAACGGTTGGGTTTGGGGATCTGAAAGGTCCTTTCCAACCTAAACGATTCTATGACTCTATGATTCTGTACACGGGATGTTGTGGGGATGATGCCATGTGAAAACTCTTGAGTTGTTTTTCTTCTGAAATCTCAGTCCCAGTCTTGCTGCTGCATGGAAACTATGGGAGCTCATCAGTTCAAAAGCTTGAGCCCTTGCCCTGCTCCAGCGTTGCGTAGGGATCTGGTCAGCGTAGCCATAAACGAAATACAACGTGATGCGAGACTGACGGGGGGGTGAAAGCAGTACTGGCAAATGAACCAGGCGTACAGGTTGGCTGACACACAAGATATGTATTTGCCTTTGAATACCAAGACAGACTCTACGGGCCATAAAGAAAAAATATCCATAGGCCTTGTATTTCCATTTTCAGCTGATAATAGCAAAAATGAGCGGAGAGTTATTGACTCCCAACATCAGGTTATTAACACCCAGAAAAATGGAAAGTCGTTACTGCTTGAGTATTTTCCTGTTTGCTATACCGCTGAAATGCAGCCAGACATAAATTTCAGCTCTTTATGACACCCTTCTGTACCCTCCGTCTGCTTTTCTGGAAGGATTCATGCCACCTGACAGGCTTTATGTGTTTTATTTTATGGGTGATTCCGCAAGAGGATGGGGAGCAAATCCAGCGCTAACCATCTCCTCGTTGTCTGTCCCCTTTCAGAGCCTCCCATCGGGCAGATGCACCCTCCCCACGGCAGCGTCACGCCCCAGAAGAACAGCAACCTCCTCGTCATCATCGTCGTCACCATCGGCGTCATCACCGTGGTGGTGGTGGTGGTGGTGGCCATCATCTGCACCAGGCGCTCCTCGGCACAGCAGAGGAAGTATGTTCTCAACTCACGGGGTGGAAGGAAAAGGCAGTGATGCTTAGCTTCAAAATCGATACGTGCAATAACATTCTCACTGAAATTTAGGATACTGCTCGTTATTTTACTCTTACTTCATCGTATTATACCATTGTGAAATTCTGGGCATGAGAAAGTTTGACGATAGCTTGCCCACAAGAACGACAAATGTTTGCGCTAAGGGCAAGACACTATTACGTTGATTTTCACAGATGCTTAAAAGTGTGGCACAAGGAAAGAAGGGACGGTCGGGGGCCCAAACAGCTCCCATGTTTGCTGAAAGCAGCTTTGGGCTGGTCGGGCATGGGCAGGTGGCAGCTTGTAGAGTTTTCCAGTCACCAGGGGAAGTGCTTTCTCTAAAAACGGATATTTGAGGGTAGATTTTTTAAATAAGAAAGCTCTCATTTAGGCAGAAAAGTAAATTTGGCCCGTGCTTTTAGGAGTGCTGGGGTAGTTGAATGATGGACTGATTTGAAAATCTGCTTCTATTGTGAGCCTTAGCACCTGAAACTCAGGCCATCGGGTGAAGGCAATGGAAATTCTGCTGAGCAGTGTTTGGTGAATCAAGGCTAAAGCTCGCTTGAGTTTCTAATGGGGAAAGGGGAATTACAACAATGAGAAACAAATAGAGATTCATCAGTCCGTAATTAGGCATCTAAAACTTAAATTTCCAAGTTTGAATTAATCCAACTTGACCTCCCTGGGGAGGGCGTAAGACATGGCAAGCCTTGCCACGTGAAGATGCTTATTGGCGTCCGTTGATTAAAAAATGTGAAGCTGGTGGGTTTGGCTTTGCTGTTTAACTTCTAAATGTCTATCCTATGGGCAGGTGAATCTCACCTAAGTTATCCCAAACCAACCGTTTCTGCACTGAAAGGGGGGAAAATGTAGGATGATAAAAATTAAACAGTAGGTCTTAAATGTAGCCCATCAGGAAAGAATGTGAACTTCTTCAAAAGAGAGGTTGGTGGTGGGAATTAATTTGGTTTTGGCCTGTCTGGAGAGATGCATCCTGTGATACAGAGAGTTTAGATTCAGGTTGTTATTGGCAGCTGGTTCTTAGCTGAAAATCACCGATGAACTACTGAACAGAAGGACTGCAGTAAGGGTAAAGGCCAAGTCGCGTTGGATAATGCCATGTCCTTCCCCAGAGCAAAAACTTGCCGGTGAGGGAATAACCTCCTGTAAGCCTTCAGTGGAGGAAAGCCATATTTCTTAAGTTAATTAAAACTTGGCTGAGCAAAGCACAATAAAGCATATTACACACAACAGCCTGGTGCTGACCGAGGTGGCTTAGTAGGTATTTTCTGTCTCTGCCGTCTAGGGAAGAATGAAATATCAGCCGTACAAACCCGCTGACAATTTGACAGCAGTAAAAAAATAGGGGAGAAAAATGGGAGTAAAGATTCAGGTGCAATAACTTACCCAGTTGTGCATACGGGGAACCTACGGCTCCCGTGGTAATTGAGATCCATACCTTCACCGTAATTACATCTTCCGCAGCACGAGATGCTCGCTGCCCTGAGCTGGCACTTGGCTGCTGGCGTGGTGCCATGGAGGATGGACGGTGGGGTCTTCCATCAGCTCCATCCTTCAGTGCTGTCCTGGTCCAGGCAGGTCAGTTCAGAGCTTAAGATTAGAGAAGATGAATCCCAGCTGAATCTTAAAATAAGGGAAAATATCACTCGTACAGCATACACCCGAACCGCAGGACCTGCTTCTTCCAGGAATTTTTTAAGGCTTCAAGGTATAACAAAAATTTTTAACACGCTGGAAGAATTAACCTATGGACTGGTAACACGAGGTTATGACTACTGGAGGAGAGAAGGTGAGGGTGGACATCTAGTCCAAGCCTGGTAGGTAAATAAAGCATATTGAAACCATTAAAAACCAAGCATGGTCTTGAACAAGTGCCCAGCCAATTAGTGTGCTGGGCGGGGGAGCGGCGTAAAAAGAGGCTGCAAAAAATAAGCTAAGACTCGTTTAAGTCCTGTGTAAGTAATAGGGATGTGTCAGTGTACATTTGGGAGGGCTCGGGGGAGGCATTAACCAAGCGCAATCAAATTCAGACTAACGGGGAATGAGTTGGCAGCCACTAAAGAGCCTCCGTATCTCGCTGCTGGGTTCCCTGGAGATGCTCCTGGTTTCTGCGGTTCCTCCACGCCGGGGTTGCTCGTTAGCTGTGGCCTCTGCCCCTTCTCTTCCATGGTGGCCTGAGGCTGGATCTTAGCACAGAGGAGAGACAGGTACTGGTGTTTCAGCTTTTCAGGGGGGCTGGCAGGAAATAAAGAGGGCAAAATGAAATAATTTTTCATTTGTAAGCAGTGGGAGAGATTTTCTGGAGAAAGAATCATTTTGTGTTCTTTTTCTTCTGTGTGTGTACAGGACCGCTATACCACTTGAATTTCCTTTACAGCCCAAAAGGCAAAGTCCACATTTTTGCCAGGTTAAGAGTAAAGAGCAGAAAATAGAAAATATTAACTCATGCAAGGGAAGGATAATTAAGGTGAGGTGATGTTCACGTTTATCGTTGAGCATCTGCAAAGTGCTTTGCAAACAGCAGCACAGGAGGCTCGGGGTTTGCGCGGGAGGTGGTTACGTCTTATGGGGCCATTGCTTCTGTGTCCTGCCTCCAAAACAGTCCCTGCTCCATGAGAAAAGATGTCCAATAGGACCAGGACTGGCTGGTTACCCATGGTTTTTGCTACAAGCAAAAACTTGTTTTGCCCAGGACAACAGGGCAAAAAATTCTGTTTAACATCTTTATCAATGACCTGGATGAGGGGATCGAGGGCACCCTCAGTCACTTGGCAGGTGACACCAAACTGGGTGGGAGTGTGGATCTGCTGGGGGGAGGAGGGCTCTGCAGAGGGACCTGGCCAGGCTGGATCCATGGGCCCAGCCCAACTGGGTGAGGGTCAACAAGGCCAAGGGCCGGGTCCTGCCCTGGGGTCACCACAACCCCAGGCAGCGCTCCAGGCGTGGGGCAGAGGGGCTGGAAAGCTGCCCGGTGGAAAAGGCCCTGGGGGTGCTGGTCGCCAGGGGGCTGAATATGAGCCAGCAGGGTGCCCAGGTGGCCAAGAGGGCCACCAGCA